GGGAAGTTGCAACTTAAAATCAGCATGAGACTTGTGTGACTATTGAGTTCAGCTCACACCACCACCACGAAACAAAGCAAAGTGAATTCCCAGCCTGTGCTGAGGGGAGTTGGTACCTTGTCTTCAGCCTCCAACTAGGGATCCCGCTCTTGTGTGTAATTTGTGTTACTGAAGGCAGATACAGATGATCAGTCATTAAAAATCTATGCAAATTGGAATATTTTCTCTAGCATAGCAAAATATGGAGAGAAAAAAAAATCCCCTTGAAATAAACTCTAGGTGTGCTTCATTTTATCCACTATATATTTAAGGGTATTGTGAACACCAAGAATGCTACTCACTACTGTAGACAGAATCATGCTTATGTTGTAAAAAATAAAGTGTCATTTCTGTGTTAAAGCTATAAACAATACCCCATTTTTTTCTCCCTGTTTTCCATTTCCATGTTGCTACACAAGTATTTTTCAAGGGGATTACTCTAACAGTACTTTGCAGTGTGTATATGGGTGTGTGTACAGATATAACACCTGAGTGTCTCTCCAATTGGCAGGCAGTTGATGCCCTGAAACAGCTCTACCTGGAGTTTCCATCTTTATACAACAGCAGCATAGTCTGTTCTTTCATGCCAGATGTTGTGTATAAGGTGATGTTTCCTCAATGTTTACTTGGTTTTTTTTTAGTTTTGCCTGGGAATTTGTTAGATACACAACTGCAGTTCAGGATTACTTTTGGGTTGTTAAAATTGCCAAGACTTTTGAAAATGAAGTATATATTTAGTCTGGAAAAGAGGTGGCTCAGGGGGGACCTTGTTGCTCTCTACAACTGCATGAACAGAGGTTGGAGCTGGTCTCCCCTCCCAAGTAACAAGTGATAAGAGGAAATGGCCTCAGGTTGTGCCAGGGGAGGTTTAGATTGGAGATTAGGAACAATTTCTTCACAGAGAGGGTGCTCAGGCATTGGAACAGGCTGCCCAAGGCAGTGGTGGGGTCACCATCCCTGGAAGTGTTCACAAAGGGTGTAGATGAAGCCCTCAGTGATATGGTTTGGTGGTGGCCTTGGCAGTGCTGGCATAATCGTTGGACTTGATGATCTTGAAGGTCTTTTCCAACCTAGCTGATTCTGTGAGTCTATAATGTACAATGTTACTGGATCACTCTGTGCTCATTAGATGCACATAGGAACCTACAGCACTCTGTCCATCCTGAAAGCTGAGTACAAAAAGGTGCATCGCTTTTACAGTTGGCATGTGGCCAGATATCTGTGCACAGGAGACCTATTAAATAGACCTCATGTTCTGATGGAAGTGTAGACTATTCTTAAAACTGCTTCCAAATTCTCATTGCCCTGTCCATTTATTGTGTATTTTATTCCATTGCCTCTTACGCAGTTTTTTAACATTAAAGCTGTTGTTTATTCAGTATGTTTTAAAGAAAAAAACAAACAGTGAAATACCATAAACAGCTTTCTAAAAGAGTGACAAAAGGATCAGGAGGGGAAGGGGAGAGCTGCAAATGCAAGCTAGCACTTTGTACCTGACCTCTCACAGTTCATATTTAATGCAGCTTGGGTTTTGTATGAATTAGAGTCTTTTCTCCTTCATCTTCCAGATGAGACAAGCTGACAGAAATGTTGTAACAGCACTAACACACAGGCCTTGGCAACTGAGCCATTTTGGAGATGGGACACCCCGTTTCAGTTCCTCCTGGAAACATCACTTGTATATGATGCTGGATGTCATTCTAGATTGGAGCTTACACAGCTTCTTATGGCGATTGTGTGGGGTTTCAGCTCTCCTTGTACAGAAAAATTTTGTTTCTCAGTAAGTGTTAAGCTTCCTAACATACTGGGAGGTATTACCATTCTGTTAGTACAGAAGGCTGGAGTTAACATAGTATGTGCTAATCAATGTGTTCCGTTCAGTGTTGGGTAAGGTTATTTGAATAATTCCTTTACCCCAAGCTATTTTATTACTTTAAGCCTCTAGCACTTTAATCTGTATTTTTATCTTATGCTTTATGTTTGAAGAGGGAGAAAATTGTTGCTTTTGTTGTTTACAGTAATAAAACACAAAAAGATGGCGTTGCAAAAGGATGCGCTGTCATTCTTGATGTGGTAACTGGTGTGAGACTAAAACTCAGCTGTAGCCTCAGCACTGTCTGCCTTAAATATGGTAGTGCCAGCCTTCCTCTTACGGTGTCCTTGTTCCTTGCAGAGACTACGTGAGGCACTGGTCTTCAAAAGGGATTCAGGTGGTTGCCTGGACAGTGAACACGTTTGCGGAAAAAAGCTACTATGAAAGTGTCCTTGAATCCAACTACATCACCGACAGCTTGGTGGAAGACTGTGAACCTCATTATTAGACCTGTGCTGCGCACACACCACCCAAAGTAAGCTCTCTTGCCTGGGCAGCGTGAACTCCCCATCAGGAGGGTACCCACTAGCACAGATGGGATCGCCAGCGGCGGTTCTGTACTTCTGCTCTGTGGTCAGACCTCAAATGCAATAACCTTCTGATGCAACACCAGGGAAAGACAAGGTACAGGGATATGCAGTCTGAGTAAATCACACTCTAACACAAAGGGATCCAGTTTGACAAGTGACCTGTTGCTTTATGATTCTCAGACTCTTCCTTTGCTTTGTTCAGCTCTTGATTATGAAGCCAAATCAGCAATTTTTGGTGGCAAGTTTTAAAGTAATATCTTTTCCTTTTTTTTTTTTTTTTTTGTAATTTAAACAGTCTGTTCTACAACTGTATAATAATTTGAGATTGATTTATGGTATCTTAAAAACATCTATATTACTGTTCTTAAAACAGAACCTGAAAATAACGGTGCCAAGTAGAGCATGCGTATGTTTCCCTCCTGCTGCACAGGAAGATGCCTATGCTGTGTTTTGACCTGGAAAAGCAAGCCAAATTTCAGTGTTCAGTGTGTAGACTGTGAGAACCAATGAATAAAACTTGAATAGCTGCCTATCTTCCACACTTTTTAAAGAACCAAGGGAGGATAGAAGATTATTTCTTCTAATGACACAGAACATGAATGTATTTATTTAAAGAAAACTATGTATTGAGTACTGGAAGCAATAGAACAAATGAGAGCTGAAATGTCTTTAACTTTCCTTATTGTTTGGATGATTGAAGGGCACACACAACGATACGTGGGAAACTGTAACCCAGGTTTAACTTGAAATCAAAAGTTACAATAAACAATCTGATAACTCACAGTTACGGTGTTCTTTATCAGCTGCATGGCAGCAGATTGATGTATGCTGTCAAAGCTAGCGCAGGTTGTGTGCAGTTTGTTCTAACATGTAAAACCCCAGGTGTTCCCATCAACATGCAGTGAACAATTTTGGCTCTGCTCTGGAAGGAGCTGGTGGTTAGAGAAGACTGTCAATGCTTAAAAGAGTAGTGTGGAGCCAGCCGTACCATAAATTAGACTACCTTTTCTTCATGGCCAACACGTGGAGTTACTAAGTTTATTGATTTCATTTCAGGAGAATGTAATACTAGTTTCAACGGAAATGAGGAATTTGAGCATTTAACGTGTCACAGGTTGCAGGCTATTCAGACACAGTCTCACAAGACACTGTTGGCTGCATGTAGCAATGTGCATATTTGACCAGGAAGTGTAACCACACTTGAGTAAGGTAGTTCCTTGTGCTGCTTCGATGGTGTTGAATTCACCATTTCCCTGTTTAAGCACTGCTGTGTTTCAGGTGAGGTGCTGCACTGTGCACTGGGTGAGCACTTCACAAGGTGCTGGGGAAAACTGCCTTTCCCAGAAATGGAACAGCAGACTGGGGGTGCAGATGGGTACTGTACTTTGGATATAAATGCTCTTGAGAGCCTGCCTCATGGTTAGAATTGTTTCTCATTCACAGAGCCAACTGGGGCTCTTAAAAAAACTTCTATAAAAGATGGTTTGCCTACAAAAGAGACAAAGTGTAATTAAAAAAAAAACAGTAAAAATCAGTCATTGGTAGAAAGAACTACACAATTGTCCCAGTTAAGGTAAGTCCAAACCTATGAATTAGCAGCAGATTAATGCTGCCTTCTGCAAGGGGTGATGGATTTTTTTGCTTGTACCTTTAGCTATAGCTAAGCATGAAGAAACACAGGAGTAAGGAGCTGATTTTTAATGGCAGGATAAGACAAACCCTCTTCAGTTCATGTCCCTCATCTACCCTGTGCTGCAGAATCACCACACCTCACCTCCTGGTGCACATCCTATCACACGTGTATGCTATGCTTGTGACCTCTACCTCTGCTGCTATGTTCTACAGGCACTCCCTGAGCAGCCAGCAGGAGGCCAAGTGCCCGTTGCTACACGAGTTGCTGGCACTGGAGTCATTGTCCTCAGTGCAAACACCAGGCCCATCTCACAGAATAGGTGGGGTTGGAAAGGACCTTAAGTTCATCAGTAGTCACAACCAGATTCCAGAGCTCTGCATGCAGAAAAACATATTAAATACAATTGAACCTCTGGTCTCACATTGTATATAAAGTTCATGCTTTTCTTCTGTACCTTTGGTGGCTGTTTCTGGATCCTTTCACCAAATTACAAGCACAACAGCAAGATGTGCCTCTTCCCTAAGGCATTTTTATGTCTAAAGCAATGACAGAGGAATAAACCAGGAAGTAGTAGAAAATTGGCTAAAAAAAAAAATTATCACCAGGGCAAAGTTGTGCCTCTGAATACAAAGAAGCTGCATCGAGTGTCTCAAAGTCATACATGATAAAGAAAATCTCACCTGTGTTACTTGCAATCTACCCTTTACGGGAAAGGATGTATAAACTTCTTGTTTACAAGCAGTGGTTTTACACATGAGACTTTTGATGAGTAATTACTCTTTAAAAAAGGGTTTGATAGCTTCTAATGTCTGTAATAAGCTATAACAATGGCTCAGAAAAGTGCAAATGGAATAGAAACTTAAAGTGGTTCACACAAATTACTTTGCAGCCATTACAATGTCTTCAGCGTTAAAAACAACTGCACTTTAATTTCCTTCTATTTTTATTTGGCCAATGCGTTGCTTTTGGTTTAGATTAGATAAAAGCAGTTTGAACAATATAACTTATAAAAACAGTTTTGGAACAAAGCTTTATTTACAATAACGGAAAGTTTCCTGTCTTTAGTCAAGAGCAAGTGACTGCTGTGGAGGGATCTTTACAGTGTCAGAGTGTGAGCCAGTCCTGGAGAAGGCTGTCAGCACAGTATCCCTACTTCAAAACCAAACCAAACACACAGGATATTCCCCATCACAATAATAAACTCCAGTCAGAATGCATTTTTCTATTTGTTCTCTTATCTTTTTCTTCTATTTAAGGGTAAAAAAGGAGGTGCCAATGGTTCACAGTCCTTACAGTGCAATCGATCACTGCTTTCTGCAGAACACCACTCACTGTACGTTCATTATTGATTCTGCTGGCTCGCAGTCAAGGATAGGTGTCATCATCTTCGTATTCCCACCGAGCTGCTTCTCTGGCCCGCAGAGCGATCACCACTGCCTCTGACATGCAGGACCCACTGCTGCGTGGGTTTCCCTCCAGCCCTGCTTGTCACAGGGGAAGTAACATTAACTGTGCTGTTGTCACTATACTAACCACCCCCACTGAAGTGCCGCATGCTTTTGAAGTGTCTCATCTGCCCCATATTTGGAACGCAGTTACATGTTTGTGTAAACCAGGAATAGTTCAACCTACCACACCAAGTTTCCATAGTTTTTTTATGTTCTGGACATACCGTGTCCTAGGGACTCTACATCATTAATAGCCTCTGATGAGGTTCACACCAAGATATAAAACATCTCTCTAATGTGATGTAATATTCTTGCTTGTGGCTGCTCCCATAAAACAAAACATCTCATTTACCCAAAGAAATTCAACTCTCCGGCATACAGAAGCTTGTGATCAGTCTTCAGAAGTCACCACCAACACCACAACAAGCACACCCTATAGGAAGTGTTTACCTCAAACCCCCGGTCTTTTTGTTTTCTCTTCAGACAAGATGCTAAAATCCTGCCTCTCTTACATCTGTTATGAGCAGTGTCTGTATTGTAACAAACACTTTTACTGAGCTGAGCTTCCAGAAGCTGTTTTCTGTGTTCAGCATTTGTTGCTTACCTTGTGGGAAGCCAGTCCCCCCAGCAGCATTGGGATACTGAAAACAAAATTCACAGGGAGATTGAGGTTGATGTTTCCCTTATGTGCCATTTATCTTATACTTCAAGATACTGGTTACCTATAACACAACCATACTCTCTAGATCTTAAGCAGACTTGTACAAGTATTCCAACAGCTATTCTGATTACATTTTGCTCAAATTAATCTTTAAAATTACTTCTATGCATACAGGATGACCTCTTTGTTCAACATGCACCCCTTGTCTGCACCTTGCCCCAGGCTCTATATAGGGAAATCTAGCAGAGATTTCTGCTTTCGACCATCTCACCTCGTTGTAGGAAGCATTTTGATTTCTGTCAAATGCCCTTCCTGGGTAGCCTGGCACTTGCTGGGCAGGCTGCCAGGACGGGTGGTATGAAGAAGAGCTTCTCTGAAAGACAGAATAGCTGCATTAGTGGTACTATGGTCTGGCTTCCAGTCCTGACTTTACAGCCACCCAAGGCTATGCCCCTTGTTCTAGGGAGGCGGCTCTTCTATTAGAACCACAATAAGATTATTCTGGCATCTCCTTTTGAAATCTGACCTTAATTAGTACAAGGACATCCATATTTTGTAGCAAACCCTGCCCTCAGCGTCCCAGGTGGGACTCAGGATGCAGCCACAGGGTTGTCAAGTGTTTGAAAATCCCCAGCAGACAGAAAATGCCCATTCACTTTACAGTCCCCTCTTTACAGTCAATATTTATTTATATGTGTTTATATTAGCACATATGTATTGCTGTTTATCAATATATCAATACCAATTATTACCAAAGTTTATTTACCTTTATTTGTATCATCACATTAATGACAGCCAGTCATACCAGGCGACATGTTTTATGGGGAGAAAGGAGAGGAACTGAACAAACCCTTTTTCTTCAGCAGTATGTAGGGTCAAAGAGTGTTTCACTCAACCCAACTGAAAACCACACTCCACAGCACCTAAATGTGCATGTTTTAACACTAACTTGATGGCTCAGCAGGCAGGACTGACTTGAAAATAAGTTCAAGCTTAAGAAATTAGGCTCCTATTGTGATGTCATATGGGATTTAAAATGGGGTTAGGTCAAAGCACTCAGTTTTACCTCAGCTGAAAAGGTTGGGTGGAGGAGCAAACCATGAAACCCTAAGGAAATAGAGTCAGGAAAGGAAGGCAGCTTCCTTCTCAGTCTAGGCAAGGTTCAAGTGGGGCCAAGCCCTTCAGTGACCATCACTGCACTCCTAGATGAGGAGTGCTTTCTTGCAGTTTCACAATCATAAATGATGTCTAGTGAGGGTAAGAACTTCTCTATATTCTTCCCATGCTGAATTCTAGTCTGGAACACATAGTTAGGCAACTTCCATGGTATCCTCTTCCTGCCTGGAGTTAATTAGCTGTCAATCAACTTACATGAAACTTCAAAACCAGACATATCCCAGCATGCCAGACTGTTTGCAAGGCTAGAGAAACCCCATGAAACGGCACCAAGCGCATAACTGAGATGGTATCTAAACTATCAGACTGACCTGCTGGCCTTGTCCTCCTGGTGCAGGTGGGGTTTGCTTTGCCATTTGCAGTGCCCGTAGTTTTTCAAGTAAAAACACTTTATCTTTTCCTCCCTATGGTCAAGACGCATTTGATCATTAGCTCAAGGCCTGTAAGCAACCACTGACCACAATAATCATTACAGTTCCTTTTATGCTAAAGTAATCCATCTACAGAGGGAGCTGCAGCAGCACAGCTTGAGGGTAAAATCATTCTGCAACAATTCTGAGTTTCCCTGCAGCTCCCATGGCGGAAGGCTCCCACCCCCCTTGCCCTCTCAAAGGAAAAGCAGATCACAGCTCCACAATAGCACTGATTGTGCCATGAGACAATCAACAAGGAAGCCAAGTTTTTTTAAACAGATAAAGCTGAAAGTCAAACTTACATTAATAATTTGCTTTTGTAAGTGTTTGATCATGATCTTTCTTCCTGCTATTATCTGCCAGTAAAGATAAGCAATAACTCTAAAAAATAAAAAATAATATTAAAAAAAAGTCCAGCATATGAGCACTCCCACCCATGAGTATTCCCTCCTAGTCACTGCCTAAACAGAATGTTATCTATTACAAGATGCACACAAGCACACATATATATAGCCCCTGCCCATGGCAGGAAGGTTGGAACTAGACGATCTTTAAGGTCCCTTCCAACCCAGACCATTCTATGATTCTATTATCTATAGACACACACACATATATACACATATACATATATATACACATACACACACATGTATTAAAAAATAGATGGATACAATTACATTTACACAAGGAATGGCAAACACATGAAGTTGTTTAAAACATTCTCTTGGAAAAGACTTAAAGATTTGTGGACCTGTTTTTGAATGAAAGGTACAATTAAAGTAAGACAAAAAATACAAGGTGCATTTCAGATAACAAATAGGAGCCTAATGCTCTTATCCAACTTTTTGTCACTTGCTTACATATATGCCTGGTCTAAATCACAACACTGAACACCTACTGCTTCCAGGTCAGTCTTGGTCCCCCAGAATGAGTGAGATCTGGTTTCATCAGGACAGGTTTGGGTTCTTCAGTGTGTGTGGCCTATACTAGAAATACCAGGCAGCACAGCTACACCATCAAACCTACATACTGGGTTTGCCAAAATAATATACTTCAGCCAAGTGGACAGTATGTGAATTTACCAGAGATTAGCTGGAAGCAGTCTGCAACCTACTTAATAGCATTTCCCTATGTAGTGTGTTCACTTGAACACACTGTTTGTACACTACTATGCCCATCCACCACAGTGTGCCTCTGGTATTTCAGCTATCGTTTACATGCTATCATCTCCTCTTACGACTGCATTGATGAGAAATGGTCAGAAAAGTCAAAGCAACCACCTCCCAGACTTCTGCTTTTTATGTTGCTCAGAGTCCTAGTATACATTTGACCTGTACTAGCTGTGCTTGTGAAAGCTGGCTTTTCCCTGCTGATTTATGACGCAATGAGGAAGGAAGAAACTAAAAAAGCAATGGTGAAAAAAAACCAGAAATGCAATCTATGCTGCCAAGTGTATGCAGCGTGTTTCTCTTCACTGATGTTCCTGAGGCAAAGTGTGCCACTGGTAATAAGATCTGCCTAGGCACAGTAAACAAGAAATACTCAGTTAAAAGCAGTGTATCCTAGGGTTAGCATGAAGTTGGTTTGTAAAGAGCTTTGTCACCCCAACACAAAAGGAACAGGTTTTATAACTTCTTTATGTATTTCAAATACATGAATTTCCAATATATTAACCATTTCTGATACTTTAAAAATGACCTTGCAATTATTTTAACGAAGAATGGCTATGTCAGAGGCAGATTTTTCCACTTCAGGTCCTTTTTCAGTGCTTTCAATTTACAGGTACTTACAGGATAGAAACGGATAGGACGAAGAAGAAAATTTCACTTGTAATTAAGTTATGGTAGATCCACACTACCCATTTTGAGGCAGTGTAATTTTCCAGTATTGCTATCCACTCGGAGACTGCAGCATACATAGAAGACAAACCTCTGAAAGGACCACATTCATTTGAAGGTTTTAACCTGAAAGTGTGAGAAAACAGCTACTTAAAGCTTTATATGTTGACCAGTGATTTAGTTAACATTGTGATTTTGTGCATTAAGATGCTCATTAGTTTGCTACAGCTCACTGCTCTCTTTGGACCCCCCAGGAATTTCCATGATCTCTGTTTGATTTTTAACTTGGGTCACTCTCCAGCCATTGAAATGCCCAACCCAGACTATGCAGTGAAAGATAAGAGACCCTGCTGCTATGGACAGGTACCAAGCCCTTGACATAAATGCAACAAGTCGATCAGCAGTACAAGCTACAGCTAATAGAAAACCCAGATTGTCAAAGTTTCACCCACATCATTTCACCTTGCCTTTGAAGATATCAGTCACTACAGATTTTCAGCAACAACAGGATGTGTTGAAGTAAGGCAGCCTATAGCAAGAATTAACATTTTCAGGTAGACTGAAATAGGAAAGTATTGTTTGCTTTGAAACTCAACTGCTGCAGACAGCCTGAAATTCTGACTTGCAATCTGGAAATGTTTGCTCTGAAGTACTGCATCCCACCTGGTTTCATGTGTAGTCACCTGCCTTACTAAGCATCACAACCATGTGGCTGAGAATTGCCAGGAAAAAGAAAAGGGGTAGCCATGCTGCCCTCCTTACTGTGGCCAGTGATGTGCAGGTAAACAAAGCAGCTTTAAACTCCTGGTAACAACCAAGATGCATTATTGCAGAGGTCAGCACTTACTGCAAAAAGAGTCCCTGAAGTTCATAAATAATCCAGACGTTTACCTCAATTGAGTTTTTCCAGCTGCTTTTCCACTGCAGACCCAGTATGGCCTATAACATAAATAAGCTCAGGACCTAGGACTAAGTCACCGAAACCTTTATGGAGGAGGAAAAGCCAAATTTGCTGCGCCATTTAAATAAAACCCAAAACTTCAAAGTAACCTTGTTTCTCCTCCTACTTTCTTACGTGTTAACCATATTCTTGCAAACTCACTGAGCATGCCTTGTTTTCAGACCGCAGAACAGCTCACGAACATCTGAAACCTTCCATTAGCAACTAATACAGCTTTATCAACAGAAAACCACAGGTTATTCTGCGTTGTATCAGGTCACACAGCATAGCATAGCAGGCTTGAATGCCAGTGATCTTTCACACCTCCAGACAGTGACTCCAATGACAGACAGAACTCCAAGGAAGGAAGGGAAAAACAGCAGGAACATGAAGGTTGTTGTCATTTGAGCAGTTCTCCAGACTTTGCGAGGGGGTTGGCAATTCATCATTAGACTGACCTTTAAAGAGATGAAGACACACTGACTGTTGGAATGGTGTTACCTGCCACAGCAACTCAGTTTGAGTCAATCCCATTGAAATTGCTGGCAGCAGTTTCTGGAATAGCATGTGTCAAAAGTTTCCAATACTTTCTTTTATAAGACTATGACAGATAAACTGTAGAAAATGTCAAGAATATCATCTTTAAGTAGTAAGAGACCAAACAACGGGTTCTTCAGGACTCTGCTGGGCAGAGTTTGCTTTTGTAGCATATGTAAACCCATAGTTTAGGGAACATGAGTTTTGACAGCAACATGGTCAAAGGAAGTGATCCTGCCCCTCTAGTCTGCTCTCATAAGACCCCACTTGGAATACTGTGTACACTTCTGGTGACCTCAGTGCATGAAGGACATGGAGCTGTTGGGATCAGTCCAGAGGAGGCCACGAGGGATAATAAGGGGTCTGGAGCACCTCCCTTATGAAAACAGGCTGAGAAAGTTGGGGCTGTTCAGCCTAGAGAAGAGAAGGCTGCGTGGAGACCTCATAGCAGCCTTCCAGTATCTGAAGGGGGGTACAAGGCTGCTTGGGAGGGACTCTTCATTAGGGACTGTAGTGATAGGACAAGGGGTAATGGGTTAAAACTTAAACAGGGGAAGTTTAGATTGGATATAAGGAAGAAGTTCTTTACTGTGAGGGTGGTGAAGCACTGGCACAGGTTGCCCAAAGAAGTGGCAAATGCTCCATCCCTGGTGGTGTTCAAGGCCAGGTTGGACAGAGCCTTGGGCAATATGGTCTAGTGTGAGGTGTCCCTGCCTATGGAAGGGGAGTTGGAACTAGGTGATCTTAAGGTCCTTTCCAACCCAAACCATTCTATGTTTCTCTGAATTTTGAACCACCCTTTCTAGCTATAGCTATGTGTGACACTATAAACTGTTCGGTGACTCAACAACTGATCTATCATCTGGTCATACTACTGAGACAAAGAATTCTGAAAAGAAACAATTTCCATTATGATCCTTGGTTGAACCACTCTGCTTATGCTTAGATAACCTGGGAGGCCACCAGCGGGAAGTAGGAACATAAGCAGGAAGCCAAAATGACAGCCACAGGCTAAGTGTCTATATTGACATATGCACTTGTACATTATTAATTCTTGAGCCTTTAGTTTTACTTTATTTTCTCCCCTTTCTCTCTGAGCTCTTAACCCCTCCTATAACCCTTCCAATAACCCCTCCTTAACCCTTCCACACTTTCCCCCTCTCCCAAGTTTTACAAGTTCGTAATTCAAGGGCCTGAATCTAAATTGTGTTCCTTTAAAGCAAACTCCACCCTCCAAAACCCAGCCAAAAAACCTGCTCCCCTAAATACAAGACCCCAGAGCCTCCAGTCAAAACCAGCACTTTAACACTATACATTCTGCCCGGATTTCAAACTGTGTCAGTTTATGATGAATACATGTAAATCTTGTTACCTTTTTCACACAAAATACTATAGAAAATGATATTATCTGGATACCGGGCATCAGAGGTGAGAAGAGGATACCAATCCTACAAGAAAGGATTTATAAGAAAGTTAAATCTTCACTATTCACCACCCAGCTCTCAGTGCACTGAAAGCAGAAAATATCACAGTAAATTAATATACAGTTAGAGTTTGGTTATTTGGAAATTTAATCATTAATAGTATTGTTATTAATGCTGATCCTGTAACAGAAGTCAGCCTTTAAAAATACGCAACTTCAACATACATGTTTATGTACATGCCTGCAAAACTCTCTTGTAATAGGAGTAACATACTCATTCCTAGAAATAAGGCATCTTTTCCAGGGTTTAATACTGAGACTATTTCAACAGGAACACCATTCCAATGGGGAAGTAAACAAAACTAGGGTGTCCCTTTTATGGGTTTCTCTAAGACCAGTGACTGCAGGGTAAACTATTGGGTAAAGCTATTGGTAATACCTGCACTATTACAAGAGAACTGGCATGTCACAATCCTTACAAAGATAGTTAATGTCATCTCCCTCAGCATGTATCCTTCTCTTTCCCCCATGATGGGAAGCATCCAGAAGTGTCAGAGTAAGAATGTTCCATGGTATTTCTAAGTGCAAATGAGGTTTTGGCTGTAAATGTAACACTTACCAGGTCAAAGTCTGTGCATAGATCAAATCTAAAACATTTCGTCCTATATCAAACTCTGGCAGCCCCAGGCTCACACAAACTGTAGTTCCAATAATTCTGGAAGAAGAAACCAGCACCACAGCATAATAGCATTTAATACATCATAAAACCCTTTGTAGAAAAATCTGCAGAAGGCCTCCTGAATGCAAGCATCACATCAAGGACAAATTATTTAGGAGCTGCATTAATCACATCATGCAAAGCAGCCACAGCTTACTGATAAAACAGCTCATTAAAAATGAAACAGAATTGGGGAAAATCAGTTTCTCATAACATACAGCAGGGTTGGAACATGACCTAAGGTATTGTTCAAGCAACTCAAAAAAAAAAAAAAGGAAAAAAGAAAAAAAAAAAGGATTAAGTGTATCAGAAAGGTATGCTCATGCCTAAACAGTTCAAATGGCAAGTTGCCTCAGTACAAAATTGCAGCAGCTTTTCAGTTGCTGAGTCCTCAGAATTTTCAGCCTCAACCAGTCAAAAAAAATGCATCTTTTAGATTGATACTCATCGTATATCCTACTTCACACTAACTGAGGTTGCAAGCAGCTGAGGCATACACAGATAAGCAAGTACTCAGAGATTTCCTACTGAGGACCAACCATCCATTTTTACCATCTATTTTTTTTCCTGTGCTGGGGAGATTCAATTTCTGCTTGTTGTAGCAAGAACAATAAAGATTTTGGTAGCTATCCCATCTCTCCCTGAATACAGGTCTTGCTATGGCCTTATCAGCTGCATCATAAATACAAGCAATTGTACTTCTAATCTTTCACAGCTGTAAGTCTGGTGCTTTTGCACAGCTCAGTGAGGACATTCATCACAGCTGACACTGCAGTTTTGGTACTGTGGCTGTTTGCTGGAAGGTGGTTTCCTATCTGAACAGAACAAAAACAGGAGTAGGATTAAAGTTCGCTGGCAAGAGCTGTGGAGGGAAAGTCTTCAAGGGTTTCTCAATGTTGTTTTGTGTTAATTTAACATGAAGTTTTTAACTAAGTGTTCTACCTTGTTCACGTCATGTGCGAAGGGCAAACAATGCATCTCCTACGCAAGTATGGCCACGAACTCAAAATGCTCATAAAGCTGGCAAGCACTCAAATACTTTACTACCTTAAGTCAGAAATAATGTTTGGCAACAGAAGGGTATATGCAGCAGATGTCAGATGTAAATTACTTCTTGGTTACAAAGCTTAGCTGTATTCATGTTCGGTTAACAATACTTTCTCATTTACCATGCTACAGACCTCTACACTCAAGAATCACACTTCATCCTTAATAAGACTGATTAAAATAAGATTGTTAACTTGTGTGCACTCTACAGAGTAACATAACTAAGAGGAAAAAAATTACAGGAGGATAAACTAAAGAAAGCCAGCAGTGTGTCCATGCATATGCAGAAAACAAGTTTTTCTGCTTGAGGCTTGGTTCTTTGTCACCCCATTCAGGAGATGCATGGGAGTACAATGCAGCATCCTCCCTGCCTGTGTTTCCACCTCCAAAAAAAAAAGACACATTAGGAAAGTTTAACGGTATACACTCTGACCTCCTCCTAAGAAGGAGCTGAAACATACAGAAGACAAGTATCAGAGGCTATGCCTGGTAGAGGCAGCCAAGGAAGTTTCATGCTTCTGTTAGACTGTGTTTCTCATACTGGAAAAAAAGACCATGCCTTTGATTAATGAATGAAAACAAGATTAGAAAAGCAGTACTCACCTTTGTAAAAACTCTCCAAAGAAAGAGCCAAGCAAACAAAACATGAAGTCAACTACAATAAGACGATAGATATCTTGGCCAACCAGAGTTTCCCAGCACTTTAAGAAGAAGGAGGAAAGAAAAAAAGAACATTAAAAATGCTTATCTAGAAGTCAAAGATCATGTGATTTTAACATTGTTCCCAAATGCTTGGGCATATGGGACTCAAGCTACAGACCAAAGATTTGCTAACAGCCTGAACCATCCTAGTTGACCTCTCACTGAAAAATTCTCCAAAACAACTGAGATGTGAGTTGGGAGACTCCTTTCTTCCTACAGTTAACTTCTCTAGAGATGATGAGTGAAAAAATGTTGGGGTGGCAAATTCAGCTTCCCCAGACACTACACGCACTTCTCTTTGCTGGATTAAGTCTCTTACAAAAGTGGTTCCTAACCTGGCATTGTAAATCAAAAGATTTGTATTTCTGAAACTTTACCTGTGACTCTGATTCAGCCACAATGTTAAGCCAGTAGTAGCACAGAATTCCAACAATTGATATTTTCAGGATGATACTTCTGAAAAGAGAAAGTAACAGTAACTGCACTGACAGCTGGTCCATAAACTCACTGGAGAGAATGATGGCAGGATGATCATTGGTTACACTCTATTACCTTCTCTTATAACAACAATAGCACTGCAGAGTGCCAGGACCAACAGGAACTCTCCTCAAAGCTGAAGCACAGCATTATTCTATTGTCCTGGTGGAAAACGAACTGGGCATGACAACCTTGGCACAGCCTCTGCAAAAGAGGCTGCTGGTTGGGTGTGTGGGCTCCACAGGGGAGGAAGGTCTGAGGAGCACCAGCAGTTACACACTGTTAATTTCAGGCACCTGTATTTAAGTAAGATCTCATCACTCCTTTTTCCCCTTTCTTTCCCTGGTGTGCAGAGCTCTTTGGAGAAGATGAATTCTCCTCCATAGCTCCTTACTGCCCACCACATCATCTACACATAGATTGCTATCAAAAAAGAAGAGTCAGGCAACTTCAGGCAAAAAGCACTAAGAGGCGGTAGCAACAAATACCTGGCAATAGTGACATATATATGCTGTCCAGGAGTCTGAAATCTTTCCAGACGTCCAAGCCATGAGTAGAAGAACGGGATGAATGCATTGAGGACAGATGTGACAACAGGTAGCACCAACATGGCAGCTTGGCTCTCTAGGTCATTCCTGTGCCCTTTCACAAATAGCTTAGAGGCAAAAAACAAAACAAAACTTAAGAGCCTTAACCAAAAGAGTACATCAAGTTGTGTCCACAGGGAAGACTCCTGGCACATGTCCCTGCATGACTGTAAGTTAGAGATTATCATGGTTTATGGGCCCAGGTCCAGCAGCACAGAGACCTTCTCCCCTTCCCCCATTTTACATGGGACCAAGGGTGGGAGCCCCAGATTAAACGCAGCTCCTTGGCAAAGGAGAGGCAGGCCTTGATGAGGCTGCTTCTTGCTATTTCTTTCAAGGTATCTCCCTAAGGTAGCCATGAACCCAAGAAAGCAGCTGTCAGGTGATGGGGGAGAACAGACCAGTGCTTGCACTCAGTGTAAGATACCCATGTCCAAAACCAGACTGTAAAATCTGTCCTTACCTTCAGGTTATTAGTGGAGAGGAAGTAAACACCAGCACAAGCAGCTAGTGCTGTTCCCAGAGAAGTGACCCACGAAGCAAAATGAATAGCAATGCAAACAACTCTCTCTGTTACAGAAAAACTTAGAACTTCCCGGTTTACTTCAGAGAGGTCTTCCTGCAAGGAAAAAATTCCTAATGAAGAATTCCTTAGTCAACAGCATAAAGCAAAACTTGCTTCAAGTAACTACTTGAGAGACTGAATGAAAGATTATTTCTCCAGAAGATGGGCAGAGTAATACCCTGGGGACATTTAGTAGGCAACATTGTGTTCCTATCCTAAAAATCTCTTCTCTTGACAGTTACCCTGTATTTCACAGATATTACTAGTGTGCCTTTTGTTTACAACATGGTTAAATAGCAGGAAGGAAAACCAGAATACTCTGTCCAGCAAATATTTAATAGTCACAGAGTCACATTCATTCAATAGAACAGAAGCATACAAATATTTATATGTAGCTTAAAGAGAAAAGAAAAGCAAGTAGCTAAGACAATTCCAGGAGTACAAATCAAATGAAACTTAACAGTCAAGAAACCTTAAATCTATGAACAACAGGGCCAGCAAGCTTGAGTCCCTCTGCCAGAGACTTCCATGTGCGTATACAAATTTCTATGCAGAAACAAGCCTCTGGCAGAGTGATTTGTGCATGTGAGTTTTGTACCTTTCTACCTTTTTGTACCTCCTGTGCTTTGTACCTTTATTTGTGTGCTGAGATTCTTTTGTTTCAGCTTCACAGCTTTTTCATTCGTGATATTGAAGTCCCAAGTGCAGAGAAGTTTGCTAGCATTCCCAGGGAATGCCTGAGGGTTAATGAAGTTCTTGCAGAAGGACTTTGCCATGCTGCAATGAAAACTGAGTTTGTGAGATGCATAACGGGGAAATACATAAATCTGCACAGCAGGGCAAGAAGGGAGATTCATCAGCTTTTCTGTCCCCCCCCAAGGCTGCTGCACCTATGTCAGAGCACGTCACACAAGACAAAACAGAAAATAAATGTTCATGTAAGAAACAACTCTGACATTTCCTTCTAATCATGGCTGACAATCTTTACCTTTGGAAGGTCACATCAGTACCAGGAGATATTAGGAGCAACAGCTTCCAAAAGGGGTATCATGATATTCATTGGCTTGAACTGGGATTCTCTCCATGTCCCTTACTATTTCACAGTTATTCTTTGTTTGTCTAAAAGAAGATTTGATTTCTAGAGATTGTCTTTTGAGCAGAAACTTCTACTTAAACTCTACACCTGGAAATAAGGACTTACAGAAACACTCCAGTAATTATAATTGCCAATGACCTCAATATAAGTGAAACAAGAACATATAATTACTTTACCTGAACAACAAGATAAGAAAACAGATGACAAAATATATTCCAACAGTGAAAATATAGGCCAGCTGCATGTTGTAAGATGGACCATTCTTTATTTTACTGATTGTAGCATTGGTGTAAAAGCCATAGTAGAGTACTGTTTGTTGAAAATAACCCTGAAAAGACATGGACATCATTCAGAATGTTTGCTATCACCTGTATATGGTTAGAAGTACCATCATCTGAAGCCCAGTTACTGGAAGTGGGAACCTTCCCATTCCCTACATGAAACCAGAGGTGTGAATAAATTTCTAAATATCAGGCCCTTTGTTTCTTTCTATCAGCTAAAATATTCCATAGACTTGAGAGCTTCTAGAGATATGTAAATAACTCATGTCCTTCTGAAGATGCATATTGTATGATCATGAGCATTCAATGTCTTTGCAGGACCTGCTCTTTTCTGAAAATTCCTAAAGAGGGAAAGGTTTAATTGCTTCCTTCTTGGGATCAAGGTTCTGTACTGAAAAATTGCATTGACTATAAAGGAATCAGATGACATTTAACACTAGAGCTACTAGATTATAGCTGAACTCCTGAGGTAATGATTGTACTTTGCAAAACAGCACTACCACAAAACATCGCAATTTAAAGGTAATTTAAGAAGGAAAAAGCTGACACCATTCCTCTTTAAAAAGACCTCTCAACTAAGCATTAGTAAGAGCAGGCTCTTGTTTATTAACTAGAGAAATCATTTAACAACAGTAAAAATAACACACTTTTTACAGTAAAGACATAAAAAAATCCCATCTCAGATGACTTAGTTGATGAATACCAGTAGAGTTAAAGCAGTGCGAAAACTTTCCTTAAAAACAGCCTGGGACTTTATTCCCTGAAAGTAAAGATTTCCACACAATGGAAGGCCCTTCTGTCTCCAGGCCCCACTGAATTCAGCAGGTTGCTACAGAAAGAGCTGTGTGCTCCTTGGAAGAACACAGCTTTGGAAATAAGCAAAATTCACAGGATCTCATATGGAAATTTGCACTGCATTTTCAGAAGAAAATCAGCATGGGAAAAATGTCCTGCTGAAGACCACTGCACCTATCGCTGACTTCCTTTGTGTCTCTGCCACTGCTTTCTCAAAGAGTGATGAAAGTCTTGAAATACTGCTGAACACAGCAATTTTTTACAGTGAGACAAGTGCATCAGGACAAGTTCCATTCATCTCACTCTGTTGTTTCTAGTGTCTAGAATATTGTTTCTAGTCACATAAAATTCTAACTCCATAACAAGAGATACTAAGTTTTTTACTCTATTGTGAGTTTTTAAAGTAGATCTGTTGCACACAGTACTAACACAAATCTGCTGTTACATACTTACAGCTCCAGTGAGCAGCTCCAGACCCGTGAATGAAAGGTTATTTGGTTCTGCTGCAAGAAACTGAGGAATTGTGAGGAAACCGAAGTTTATGAGGAATGAGAAGATGTTGAAAGTTAGCAGCCACTTCAAGAAAATAAAATAAGAAAGAACACTTGTTCCAAACTTGGCACCAATGACCTTCAGAGTCTTCTGCTGTAACTGCAGTAGGTGAAAATATTCTGACAAGCTATTTCCAAGTCGCCGAAATGACTGAAGTGCGAAAGAGGAGAGAGATCAATCTCAGCAAGCAGCCTTGAACAGGATTCTCATTCACATAATGAAGCTTCACATTCTTTACAGTTCCATCTTAAGATAAGAACAAATTTCCCCCACCACCTGCACTGTAAGATGCCCAACTCTTGTTCCTAAGTGCTACCATAATGCACGTAGCTATTAGCGAAGACTGCAGCAATTAACCAGTTCTTTGGTAAATAACAAATTTATATAAAACATAAAGCCAGACACCAGGTACCTCTGCAGACAGTGATAACATTGCAGCTATTGTGGCTTGCAGGAGTTTGACACTTACCACTGCTATTCCCTGCATACACTGTGTGCAGGAGCAAAGTTGAGTACTGCAATGCCTTGATTTTTTTTTTGTTATTTCTTCAAGAACTTTGTTCCTGTGGAAAAGAAGGGCAGGGGATGACAATGGTATGGGTTGGAATTACAACAAGATGACAAAGAAACTGCTGGAAATAGTGTTTCGTACACGTTCATGTGAAGAAAGTTAATATGGAGCTATTCTGCTAGTTCTTTTTCTACTAGCTGATGCCATGGCTCTTGTCCATGCTATGACAGCATATTCTAATCCCTCTACATATCACTCTGGGAACAAAACTTCAATGTATTCTGTGAGGACACAAAAGGATGGTTGAGAACATTCGCTTTCTTCTCCATTTTCAATGGCCAACATCCAGTTTCCTTTGAAAAGAAATCGTAAGTCATCATTCATAATCAAATATCAAGGCCTTGATTTTTATATTAGCATGAGAGATTCTTCTCATCCAGAGAAAGGACAGTGAACCATCTTTAAATTATTTCCATTTGCAAGATGTTGACTTTTTTAAAGTGTATTAAAAAATACTTTTGGTTCTTTCAAAGTGCCAAACCAAAGCTGAGCATGTTGAAAGTACAATGTTTGTAAAATTAAACAGACACATTTTTATTTTTACCTGATCTCTCTCTTTTTTTTCATGGTCTCTGGCATCTTCTGGATTGCTTTAATCCTTTCACTGGTGGACATACTTGCAAGATTTTCAACTAAAGTTTCCTCTGCATAAAACCCATGAAAAAAATTCAAGTATTTGCAATAATAACACAGTAATAATTATACAAAATCTGAAGTGGATATAACAACACTCCCCATTGTCACTGCTACCAAAGTGTGGTATGTTCCGAGACTACTCCCCAAGAATACCCTCAGCTCCATCAGTACTCTAATACAGATACAGGTAATACAATATTGAAAGTTAAAACCAAATATCACTTGTCTGATGCTTGATTAGCATTCATACAAAGAGCTGAAATACAAAGGAGAACAAAAAACTGTCAAATTCCAAGATTCTGGTCTATTGCTTCGTCAGTGTTTGATAGTGTCATTTCTATGATGCTATGTACTGGCTTGACAGCCAAACTTTTATTTATTCTAGAATTTTAGTTTATGTTTCTGCCCAAACTTTGCACTACCTATGAAACAGACAGAACTGTATTACTTGACAATCAGGCTGGTTTTGCATAGTTGGAATTTGAGGCTATTTCCAGACACACCGGCTGAAAACAACCTATTAGCTGGTCAAATAAATTCTAATAAAGAGATTGGCTTTTCTGTCTATGATTTAACACATTCAGACTGCACTGTGCTTCCTTTATCATGGGATTTTAATGTGATAGTAGAGTATAAAAGATGAATCACTAGCGTTAACACAAAACCAAGTTGTTTCCATAACCACAGAAAGACTGTACATGCAATTCAGGTGAATAAATCAGGAACAGTATCAACCACACCATCTTGTGCAAGATGCTATTTCATATTGAACCACTTACGTAAACTCCTACTTTCTTTCCACACTGGATTTGCTTCAAACACACTGGAAGAAGTCATGAAGATCTCATCATGTGGTCTTCTGTCGCGTCTCCGAATAAAGCTACCTAAATAACATGCGTTGGTCAGTAAGCCCAGATATACCTGACAAATTGACTTGAGAAATTCGAATTTTGAAACAACTTAAAAGCATACCCTTCAATCTCACTACCTGCATGCAAATATATACTCCCCCATTCACTTCTTTCCTGGTCGTGCTTGACAACCATATGCAGTTTTTCAGATACATCTTGGAAGAGAGGTACGGAGCACAGCCTTCAGCTACATGGAAGACTGGATAACCAACTCATAAATGTGCACATTGATTGTTCAAAACTTTCTTCTAGAAGATAGGTCCTTTCTTTAAAAATCCTTACACTGACTCCAGAGGGATTGTTTTAGACTCACAATCATGCTGAATAAGTTAAATGTATCAGATTCCCACTTCCCTGAAGCCAAAACGCAACTGTTCTTTCAACCTTCTTTCATGCAATTATCCAAACATTAGTGACTATATTCCTTAAAAGCATCTGCCTTCCAGCTATGAAACAGATGAGTTTAGCCACAGCTTTCCTTGCCTTGCCTTCTCAGTAAGCTAATGGCAAATCTGTGCAACACTACATCCCCCTTTTGAAGTCAACCCTCTGGTGTAGAAGGCTGCAACTGACTGATGCACCTGCTAGTTGATGCACATGATGCAGGCACCTGCACCATATTTACTATTTAGACCTAATGGTTCCTTAACGTTAGTGTCATTTACACTTGGAGACAACTTCCTTTGTAGCAACTAAAAAGAATCAGAAAAAGGAAAACATCTGCGCCTCCTCAGGTACTTCTTGAGCTTTCAGCACCCAGACATTTCTCCTCTAGTTACGGAAATGCACTCTCTTTCCTCTTTCCTACCAGGTATTAAAAGCCATATGTGATAGGTAATGTTTGGAAATGCCCTATCTCTATGGTCACTCACTGAGCAAGGCATTTCCAGGTTCCAGAAAAGAATTCTTAGTTACATTCCAAAAGCAGCAGACAAAAACTGAACTGACTGTAACAGAAAAATTACACAGTATGGTGAGAACAGTTCCTACCCAGAACACAAACAATAAATCACTACAGCAGCCTAAATTAGAAGCCAGAATGTTCTATGCCAGACCCCTTATATTTTAAGGAGTATAAAACTCTAATAATAATAATTAGGGTCTAGAATTTACACAGAGACAACATAGTGAAAAAGCCACTAAAGAGTATCAAAAATGTACCCTATCCTCCCCTTATTTCCTCCTATAGTAAATCTCTTCAGATAACTCTAAGTTTGTTTTATGCTGATCCACTTTTAGGGAGTTTGGGTTAAAATGAGTAGGCATTACATCTTTCATTGCTCAGGAAAACAAAATCATCACCTGCAGGAAGATATTGAAAAATTCAGCTACAACAATGTAGGATAGTAAAATAGAATTTCTGTTTTATGGTTCCTTTTATTACATGAGTATTTTCATATCTGAACCAAAAGGCTTTTAAGTACTTATTATTTATTTTATGGAGGGTGAGACTAACATACAATATCTTGACACACCACAATCCTTGTATCTTACCTTCCGATTCACTGGAAATGCTGTGGGTATAGGGGCTATGGAATGTAGAAGGTGGGCTGTATGCCAGTTCAGACTCAGGCTCAAAGGAAAGATTATCTGTTGAATGGAATCAGAGTCATACAGAAAGTTGTATACTGATCTGGATTATTTACACACACAGGGTATCAGCCCCCTTGACCAAACTCCTACATCTCACTCCAGTGTATATCCTAGTATTCAATAATTTATTCAGTCCACACAAGTCAGTATTTGCTGATCTGTTAATACAACAGACAGTCCCTGGATCTGTTAATGTAACACCTGAACTACTACTAGGGGGGAAAAAAGGCACACACACACACACACACACACACACCCACACACACACCCCCCGCCAGCATCTACAAATACATAGAGTTGAGCTTTCCAGAGCTACAGGACTCCCTCAGGACATTATCTGTTTCAGTGTTTCTGTAAGCTGTTCATACCAGAAATTACCTACCTGTGGAATTTCCGTATGGACTTCTTCTTAGGACATTAACTCGTGGTAAACCTTCACTGTATTCAGAGCCGTGTCTCATGGAGGCCATTGGTATGTCCAGAGGGTAATTCTGCCCTCTTCCACTGTGTTCTCTGTAGGAACCGGGTAGTGAAGAATCATAAGTGGCTTGGTAAGAGAACAGATTCTCTTGAGAATTCCTCCTGTGTGAACAATAAAAAAGAACACTCAAAGTGCCACAAAACCTCTCCATAGACATCCTTACTAATTGTCACCTATTATCATCAAATTTGAGTACTTTATAAAGCAAACTGATACTGAGAGGTACTTTGTATTTAGAACTCTAACATCATTATTTTGATTTGGTCATTAACTGAATTAGAAAAACTGAAACTTTTCTTCACCTGAAGTAAGCTTGGATTCCACCTACACAGGAATAACTGCTTGGAAAAAATGAGGACATCCAGGGTTATAGCACACTGTGAAAATTACTGGAACTAAAAATTTTCCATGGCATTGGACCATAAATACTAAGGTACCTTGAACTGATAAATTCATCCAACAGGTAAAAAGCAGATGTGCTATTTCTCTTGAATACTGCCTTCCTAATAGCAGTTTTAAAAATCTGTGTCTGAGAATGCAAGCATAAAGGAGGCATTAAAAGAATTCCAAAACCTAAAATTCTGGAGAAGAAGCTTCTCCTGCATATAAATAGATAATTTAATTGCTTATGGCACAATCGCAACAGCAAAATTAAACAAACTTACCTTCTATCAATTTCCAGTGTCTCTGACAAGTGGTAGTCTGGATTTTCAAAGGCTTCATTGTAATGATGAGACATGACAAGTCTTTGGGATGAGAGATGAAATACTCCTTATTTTCGTCTCTACTGCTTCATTAATACGTTCATGGGAAGACTGATCACAGACCTAGCTCCAAAGCAGATGTATGCACATACAAAATGAAAAAAAGTTCCTTTCAGCATCTGAGTTAGGGAATTTTGCCACCCTGCTAACAAATTACAAATGAAACAGTACAAATCGGAAATGATTCTAACTTGGTGTTACTGTCACTAAATTGGGATCCAACAGAAGTTGCAGGTAAAATGGGAGCTAATGCTTCTCTATAGTAAGCTCTCTACAAAACTAAGGAACAGGAGTGCCACAGTTTTCCCCAACACTAACAATGAAGCCAGGTTTTAGAAGCATGGTAAAACACTAAGAAAAAGAATTTTCTGAAGATGAAAATTTTCTCCAAGTACTACATTTTCAAAACCAAAGAGGAGGTGAAGTCTGCCCACCTTCTTACTAGCAGTGGCATTTCTAAGCTTTAGTTATGAACAAGGGACCCACCATAACACTGCTATGTACAGAGCTGGCATTATTTAGAGACCCCACTCTTAATGAGGGCTCTTCTAATGACTTCATGTCTTGATCCTGTAAATAAATTTGGTTTTAGCTTTATTTCTCAGAGTGCTCCACTTTAATCTTAAGCAAACCAGACTTGGTCAGAGTTTAATGAACAGAAGTCCAGGTAAGTCAGTGAACAGGGAACATTATGCTAGAAAAACAAAGTCAAAATTAAACAGGAGTTTCTTGCAACTAATCCATCATACTCAAAATTAAAAAGGAAGCAAGCTTTAGCATTTGTTCTCAAACCACAGCAAGTTCGATCAGCTGGCAAGCTCTTCAACAGGGAAAAAAAAAAAAAATAAACAATAAAGGACAGGTCTGGAAGAATCCATCAGACCCTGCTTTTATCTCAGATCCACTCCTAGGAAAGCAGAGCTGAATCTCATGTAACAGTACAGTCTCAGCCAACTTTTCTGTCTGCAGTGGTTTTTATTTGTGATTTCTACTGCAGTAAAGGAAGTATCACATGAAGAGAAGAATCTTCAAAATGAATAATTGCAGTGTCTAGTTTCTGAAGGCTTGTCAAAATCTTCTCATTTTTGCCAAAAGCAGCTCTGAAATTACTATTGTATTATTTACACACCTAAAGATCTTGGCAGTGTAAAATCTTGCAGAGTGACACAGCTGTAAAGCACTGCCCAGGTTTTGCACACTGATTTGCAAAGAGATTTGCACATAAACACAGGTGGTTGGTTGAATTTGAAGTCCTACATTTTAATGAGAACATTGCTTACACTTGCATTACAGCCTGATGAAGCATGCTATGAGGCCCACATCTTCAGCAAACATTCACTAAAAAGCATAGCAGGAAACCTGAATATATGGTACGCCACCCATCCCTTCTGTAAACAGTGGAATGTGATTACTGCCAACAAGAAACTAAAAACATAGTCTCCCCTAGGTGACATTTGTGTTTTCTTCAGGCCACTTCACACCCATAGAGACAGAGTGAGAGTCTCATGTATTCAGAAAAGTAATAGCAGAGCCTCCTCCTCTTCTCTAAAAGAAAACCAACAAGCACCCCAGGAATCTAAACCTCTTACACAGAAGTCACAGGAAGTTTAAATCTCCCAAGAGTAGGTTTTATTTGACAGGAACCACTTAACTCTTGATGATCTTTTGAGAACTAGCTTAGAATATACAAACTCTTCAGGAATTAGTGCATTCTGTCCTTATACTCCATTAAAAAGCATGGGAACAATTCTTGTAAAAGGTGATCATGGAACTCTGCAAAGGCAGGCTCGGAAAACTGAATTTCCCCCTGTAAAAGTGTTTTACATTTCAAACCATAATGAAAAGCTCAAGAGGAGAAGATTACTCAGGGGAAGACAGTTCTCAGACAATTCCCTCTGAAGAGTGTGCAAAATGAATTTTTCTGGTTTTTAACTGGTTTTCTAGGAACCCAACTTACTTGGACTTAGCCATCCAGAAAGCTGGGAAGCCTGCCAAGCAAGGCAGCTGGAAAGCTGAGCACTGATCTAAACAGCGCCTGGTCTTCATTCAAACTAGTTTGAATGAAGATAATGAAAGATAGTTTGATGGAAATGCATGGGTTGTGTAGAATCAGCATTATGCTGAAGCAAGCTGGTAGAAAGCATCAGACAATTCTATCCACCAAATTCCTAAAGCACAACCAATCAGAAGAAGGTCAACCTGGTTAAAAAACATATCCATCACTTCTTTCTCTTATTCATTTTAAAGATCTTTAAGCATATCCGTGAAGTCTGGCTAGGACACCCAAATAAGCCTGAGACAGACTGTCTATTGATTCCATTATTATCCACTTTATTTCCTTTGAGTCTTAAGAAGCACTTCATGCCAGGATTGCTATGAAAATCCACAGGCACATCTACCATCTAACACTGAACCCAGCATCTGAAGCCACTCTGTTTTCCTCTCCACTCAGGATATTTTAAGCATTTTAAATAAATTCAAGCTCAAGGCATTTGCAGCATGCAAGGAAACATGAATGCACATAACCCATAGGTTTCTTGACTGCGGCTGTAGTCACTCAGAGGTTACTATGCCACCTGGAGGGTGGGATGAAGGTGTGTATGAGCAGACATGCTCCAGGTGCACAGGGGCATGCCAAACATGTACAGGTTATGACAATCTACCCACTTCCTCCACCCCAGGCCCAAAGATTATGAGAAAGTCGTCTTCTCAAATCAGATATCTACATTATAGGTTTAGTTTGGGGTTTGATGAACTGGCAGTTTATAAATTTCTAACCAGACTTGATTCATTGGAAAGAACCTGAAACAGGTAATGCTCAAGCTAAACCATCTGTTTCTTCTTTCTGACCTGTGATGGAAAGCAGTCAACAATAGCTCCAGGAAAAGCTATGATGTTTAGACTTAGCTTTCCCTTTAAAAAGGAAAAAAATAGCTGGAGAACAGAGATTATTTGTGAAAAACAGAAAGCAGGAGCTTGACAAATCATCCCTTTGTAGAGTGGTTTCCATATGTTAGACAACATTTTGAATCTAGGCAAGCAACTAGACAAAACCTGTGTTCCTCTGGGGAATGAAATATTTTAAGATCTGTGTGTTTAACAATCATTAATATGTAAGTAAGTTACAGGACAGGTGAGAGCGAGTGCTTTCTGCTTAAGTCATCCAACACACTGTAATGATACAGAGCAGGGAACTCCAAGCAGTGCACTCATACATCTGGATCATTTCCCAGAAAAATAACTGCCTTCACGTCATAGACAAACAACCTTGAAAAAAAAATTCCGGGTTAGTTTCATCCATTCCTGTACAGGTATTTCTCAGCTATAGCCACTAATCCTCATTTAGAATAGAAATCAAACAAACATGAATGTCTTGCTAAAGTAGCCCTTTGACCTGGTATCAAGTTCCAGGAAAGACACATAGACCTTCAAGTCATTTACCCGTAATCCCTCAGTAAAAAGGATTACATAAAGGTATATTCTACTTCCACAAATCTTGAAGAAGAATGGAAACAGTAAATTCCAGAACTACCTCATATTTGACTTACTAGTGTTGAATTAAGGGAATAGAACTGATTCAGAAGTTGAATGCACTCTGTTTCCATAAATATCTTTTCATTTTGTAGCATACAACTGAACAGGACTTCACTGCTACCCAAGTTATTTTTATCCATTAATCCCTGTCCTGTTTAACATGTCCTACACAGCTTCATACTAAAAAAAAAAAAAAAAAAAATCAGACTGATTTCTGGAAGCCAAAAGTGAGTCTGAGAGACAGACCGGAATTAAAACTAGATTACATGCTGCATCAATAACCAAGTTCCAGTACCGACCACTACTCTTCAACTATCTCAATCTCAACAGTTTCAGCACTCCTGCAACAAACCAGGAAAGCCTCTGAGAAAATCTAAACAGCCTGTGAATTGACAGTAATCCAACACTGTGCTCAAGAAAACCTGATTGTGAATTGACGTATTAGCAATGGAACAAATGTGATTCACACACGGAAATGAAAGTCACTTACCTTTTATGTATATTGCCACACCTCCTGCCAGCCTTGCAGTGTGTTTTTATTGATCAGCGGGGTCAGTTACAGGAGCCAATATAAACTTTGTTATTTTAGACCTTCAATTCTAGCAATGTAAATTGTGCCTCTGCTATAAAAGATCTTCCCAGTGAAAGATGACATAGTAGCACTAAAGAGTCATCTGCATACTACTGCATAGGCAAAGGACAGAAAACCAAACTGGGAAGGGAAAGGAGAAAGTGACAGAAATCCCTATTATGGTCTCCCAACAGCTTGTTGGATCTTCAGCCCACAAAGGAAGGTACTTCCTAGACCTATAGTGCGATGCTACCTACCAAAGTTCAGATCCCATCCTCCCTGTCCCCCAGTCTTTGGTGAGACTGGGGTGCAGAGAGCAGCTGCAGGCTGGCAGAGGCAGGCAGAATGGTGTCTGTCTGACATGGGGAACATCTGACTGAGTGACTATCTCTACCCTCAGCTGGCTGCTCCCTGGAGTAAACTCCAGCTGTTGCTTCAGTATCATGAGCTCTGCTCCTTATTTGCTCTGTATCTAGTTCCTGCACCTACTCACTTGTTTGCCTTGTCTTTTCCCTTTAACATTCCTCTTGCTATTCCCCCCCCCCCCATAGTTAAGAGAACAATATTTCCATCCTGCTGACTTTGTTTGTAAGTTATATCCTTTCTAGCACTTGCGGCTGCTTAGACAAGCCTACTTTGTGTTTGCAGTGTATCAAACAAGTTCCTATTTCTTCACCTGACTTTAGACACCTTTATTATAAACATGCTTCTGAAACATTCAAAAAAAAACATTACAACAAATTTTAGTGTCCAGTAAAGTATCGTAAAGATGTGCAACACACCTTAGAGTTTTTGCTTAACAACAGTGGATGAAAGTCCAGATACTTCATTAATTCTGAGAAATTCACAGTAGTTTCCCTAACTTACCACACAAATCCCTGCTTCTCCACCCAAAAGGCCCCATGGGATCACAATTCTTAAGGACTGAAGTACATATCACAATGATTTTGCATTACCTAATCCTTTCCCCAGAGACCACTTGGAGAGCAAGTCTTTTTATTTGCTGCTTTGTTGCATTTATTTTCTTAACTGTGACCACAAGTTGCAAACTTAATGCATTGGGAAAATTATGAGCATTGGGTAAAGAGGAACAAACAGGGATAAATAACTACTAAAATCAAAAATAGTGAAGAGTAAGAACAGTGTACCTGGCAGAGAGAGGAAAGATTATCAAGAACAAGAAACCATGACGAGAACTCTGTATTATTTCTTTAACACTTGAAAAACTTTACCTACCTCAGTCTGACCATTAAGGACTAAAAAAAGGCTAAGGCAAGAATCACTTCATATCAGTACAGGTCAGTCTTGGGACTCAAATTGCAGACTACAGACTATCACATTCTTTGCACACAACAGGACTGAATCTTGTTCTGTAAAACAAGTTCTTTAAGTTTGTCTATTAGCCAACATTACCAGCTGCTTGTATTTGGAGGAAATGACTGGTTACCAAAAAGAACAAAGCAATTTTTGAACACCTGTCTGGAATTAGTTTTCTGCTATTGTTACTGATTACTAGAACAGTTCTAACATTTTGCCTTAAAAGAAAGCTTTGTTTATTCTGCAATGGATACTATCCAGTTTAAATGCAATCTTCAAATTACACTTTAATGAGCAGTATCAGTTACAGGAGCCTCATTCACAAGTTCAATTGGAAAAGTTTACAAAAACTACACGTATGGTCAATTCAGATGATAAACAGGGATTTGAAAATACACAATGTTGTTGAACTAAGTAAAGGGCATTGTTTTTTTTCTAATTTCCATCTTAAATTCCTCCTAGTATATTGTCATCTCATTACTATTTGCACAAGCAGCATTTCAGACAACCCTGAGGGAACACAAAAACCATCCATAATATTCTGGCAAAACAACTGAGAAGCTGGAAAATGCCCAGAGAGAACCAGTCAGAAGAAAAGAGAACCAGTTTTGTCACTGGTTTCTCCTAACTCTTCAAAACTCTTATATGCAGTTTTCAAATTACTGGCAAATAGTTTCATATAAAGACTTTCTTTTTTATTTTCAGACAAAATGCAGTTACATTAAAACACAGTGTAACATGTTAGTACGTTAGGGTTCTATTCTACAACAAACGTACAGAAGCTATGGACTATACAAGTCACAATTAGAGGCTTTTCCACAAAAATGTGAAGGGGGACACCACTGTAGAGTGCCAGCTCCTGTAATACCAGCCCAAACAGCTATAGCATGCCACTTTACCACTTTTCATGGCAAGGATCAAAGTCCTTTCAACGAGCTTACTCTGGAAGGGGGGGAATCAAGAACAAAAACCCTCAAAACACCTGAAATCAATTGCTTTGATAGGAGTGGAGCGCTGACATCTCGGCCCAGAACAGCTGCCATTTTAACTATGCTGCTTAGCGCAGGCAGTCCTCTGCTGTCCTTATCCCACATCAGGGCTGTGTCACATGGGCAGGGACTGACACAGCACCCACACTTCACCTATCACACCTCGAACGTGGCTCTAGAGCTATTGAAAGGGTGCTGCTGCTACTACAGAGAGCAGGATCAGGCTGCTATTGGTCCCAGGTCAGGTAGAGAAGACTACAGCGACACGAGTTCAGTGGAAGCAGAAGTTAACACAGCTCCTATGCCATGCCATGGACTGTTTGCAGGTTTGTTTAACTAACGGAGCATTACTAAGGCACAGAGACTTAGCAATAAAATCTTGGCTTTTAGATGTGTATTTAATCTCCTGCATAAAAATGTTCCAACCTTTGTACGTTAGGATGTAAAGGAAAAAAAAAATGTAGCACTGAGGCTAAATAGTAAGCCTGTGTGTTTTGAGGAAGTGACAGAATGATTGACCACAAAGAATATTACTACTTAAACCTGAGAGTTTTCACACCTATTTAATACAAAAGTACTTATGGCTTCCCATCACCTACAGTAACACATAAAACTCGGAACCTGCCACTTGGAAAATGCAGTTACACATTCATTCACCAGCTAGCAGACTCCAACACGCAGTCTACACCAAAATGAAAGCAGATGTCCCGCTGGAAGCTGCTGACCCCAGCAAGGCTAGTGCAATATCTCGCAGACTGAAGTGTAACACAGTGGCTAAATACACCAGGGAAGGATGCGGCTGTTAATTCTCCCGTGGGACCCACCCTTCCAACTGAAGACAGCAGAAGCTCGTATGTGACCAACGGGGCGATAAAGCTGTGAGATACCACACAGCAGGGCTGACATCAACATCAGGGTTATGTACTGCTCAGATAGCAGCTGCCGAGCACAACCCAGAACACGCATGCAGTCCAGCCCTAACAGTTCTATCACCCCAAAGTAACTAAATTGGTAAAGTGCCGTCGCCTGCCAGGCAGCTCGGGTGACTTCTCCAGGGCAGTCACATGGAGAAGCCACTTTCCAGCCCCACCGGCAGGGTGCAGACCCTGCTCGGACCCCGGCAAGCTCCCGCCGCGGCGAGCCCGGCCCTAATCGCAGAGCAGCAGCGGCGGACGGGAATCCGCAGACCCAGGCCCCGGCCCCTGCCCTTACCTGCCCGCTGCCCGGAGAGGGCTGCCCGGCCCCGGCTCGCCCGCGCCAGGTGCCTTACCGGCGGCGAGCGCTCCGCAGACCGACACTCCACCCCGGTAACGGCTCCTCCCGATGTCCCGGTCCCGCCTCCGGCCCTGATGCGGGGGCTGCCATGGCAGCCCTCTTGGCTTCCTTTCCCCCCGGAACGGGCTGTGCGCGGAACTGCACGCCCGGAGAGGGGTACCTGAAGGCTTGCTCTTGCAGCTCAGAGAGACACAGGAAAACCACCCAAACCAATCCTTTTCCTGATACCTGCCGTAGAACATGTTGCTTTCTTTCTGTTTGATCTCCAAGATATTTAAGTTTCCCTCCTTCCATGAATTTAAACGTGTTGCTTTTGGTCTGGATCACAATAACAGCACGATAAAGGAACAGAGCAGGGAGGAATGTTTTCCATACAGATGATGCATAACCTTTATCCCTGGATTAATAATTTGTAGAGCAGAGATAAAGAACGATTTTGGCCTCATATACTTTCATTTATATTAAAGGAAGGATCATCTAGGGGTGAAAAAATTAGTTCACACTAATACAGGCAGTAATTAGCAGTTCCTAGACAGTGAACATAATACCAGCCCTGTTTTCCTGTACTCTGTAGAGACCAGAAGAAACAAGAACTTCTTTAGTGTAACACAGAGATACTGATTTTTCTTTTCTTCCTCCTCTCCCTGTGTGTCTTCCTTTCAACCAGATACAAGCAAAACTATGGACTAGACAAAGCTACAGCCAGGCACCAGGCAGGGGAAAGACAGAGAAGCCAATTATGTGCTGGGGTGTTCCTGTTCCAAAGCAGCTCAACACAGATACCTGCATTACCTTCACTCCTGCTGTTGCAGCAGATGCTGCCAGCACACCCACCACACAACAGTCACTGCCAGGCTGGTGCCCAGTGGCCTCTCCAAAGGCTAATGCTGTTCTCTGAGCAGAGGAACATTCTCAAATGGAACGCGTGGCACAACAGCCACCACAGGGACAGGCACAGAGAAAAAGGAAGCAGGATAAGGACAAGACTGGTTCTGCTCTCCCAGACCTGTGGTCTGCCCATTACTTTTTTTCCTTTTGCTAATATCATAATTCTAGACCCCTAACCACTATTGTGTTAATATAGCCTGTTACCCCATTTTGGCATATTTATCTCCCCAGAAAAAACACACATTTTAAAAATTCCAGCAACTATTCCTAAGTAACTTCTCTGGTCAGCAAGATTAAAAATCAAACAAACAAATGAAAAATACCCCTGTCAACCTTTGGATGAAAGGCACCTTCACTCCCCCATGGAGAATTGGTAATAAATCAGTTTGTTCTGCATTCTGTACTGTTGTAATGGCTGAGGATCATTTTTACCAAATGGCTAGTGCTTTTCCAGCTTCCTATATGGGTAAAACATGTCTATCCTGTACCAGACACATTCAATGTAGGCTTAAGTGAAGTTTTCTAATACTACTTTAAGATTATGTTTCGCCCAGAGCAACATTCCTGGCATGACTGCAGAGGACTTGTCTGCAGATCTCTTGTACTGATTCAGGAGCTGCCTGCATGCTGCACAGGCCACAGGGCAAAGCATGGAGGTAGTCAAACACACGATTCCCCCAAAATTAAAACAATCACTTAGAACTTTCCTGAATGTTTAGAACAACTTTCTAACCTGACCTGGTTTAGAAGCAACTTTTGACCTGAGCTATGGCATTATGAAGAAGAACCATATAGAGTGTCCTGGAAACACAGGGTGTTACTGAATGTGACAGATGGACCTCTAGCATCACAGGAAACAGTATACGGCACTGGCTTCCCTGCTCAGCACAGACTGAAAGCTGTTGCTTTTGTGAATAAGGGACAGTGGACAAATAATACATGAGAAGAACCTACCACACTCCGTATGTGTGACTGTCAGGCTCTGGCAGAATCATCCATTCTCTTCTCCTCAGTATGCCTGTTTTTCCCACATGGGATTGCTGTGATCCATAAAATCCATTGAAACATTTCCAAGTGTCTGAAAGACTTTCTCAAATAAAAATTATAAAAAACCCAAACGAGAATAGAGGATGTTCTCAAAAAAAATCCCTGGGCAATTCAATCATGTTTCAATTCCTCCAATCTTTCTTTAAATTTGTTCTCACAGGGTCATTAACTCTGTATTTTTCTAGCATACAGAGTCTAATTAATCTGCAAGTGTATTACTCACCTTTCTTCTTTGTATTCTTGGTGGTAAGAAAAGGAGCCTAAATAAAAGGCAAAACTGACCTCCCAGCTGACTCCCTTAGGGAAGTCTTACACTGTAAGTATTCCTATTTAAGGCAGAACTGGCCATGCTCTATGTTCACAGCTAAACACAAAAGATGGCCCACACTTGGTTAGCTTAAAGTAACCAATAAAAGTGGGTACTTCAGCTCTGGTGTTTCAGTACACAATCATATCTGATGTATCAATCACACACTTAGCATGAATGCTCAACAATACTGAAGGATTTTTGAGGAAAGCTACCAAGGGGTTTCAATTTCCACCTCCTGAATTTTCAGGAATGATCAACTGGAAGCTGTTTAAACAAAGCTCATGAAATGTGACACTCAACCAAGGAACCTAAATCACCTGTGTAAATGGGCTTCACTGAGGTGTCAGTTCTGTTACCAACAAGCTGATCCTGCATGCTCCCAAGCTGAAGCCCAGCCCAGCCCAGCCTCTTGGAAGAACAGCAGACAGTCACGCACCTATACAAAAAATCCCACCTGGAAAAGATCATCATGGATATCTATGAAAAGGAGAAGTCAAGAACAGTAGACTTGAATTCCTGCTCTCTTGTACGAGCCTTCAGAGTGATTTATTGTAGGATGAGGGCAAGTTATAGCTTATTTTCATGAAAAAATAGCTAAAAACCATATTAGTTATGTGGTACCAGCATAAAGGCAAGAACACCTACAAATTGTTGTGTTGTTTTTGTTTTGTTTTGTTTTGTTTTTAACTAGTTCAGAGCAATAAGGAAGCTCCTGTGCTTTAATTCCTTGTGTCTGTATTTCACAACTCCACTTTAGATATATGCCTCCTCTGCCAGTAATACATCAACTTACTGATCATAAACATGTACATCTAAATTACTTTGAGAACTTTCATTTTAATCAATAAAATTTTATGGTTTTATTATGAAAACTGATGATCCATACATATTCTTACTGCCAATAAAACAATTCCAAAGTCACATACCTGAGCTGTGACACACACGGAAAAGAACTTAAGAGATGACCAGCTCTAATGATGAGAGATCTAATGATGATTTATCTTTAGAAGTACCTCAGAAAGTGGATGAGGAATGTTCAGAAAAATCTGGTTACTGATTTAACTGTCAGTAGAATACAGTAAGAAAGACTAGAAATGCTTTTCATCCCCCCTCCCCATGTAATACCTTTGAAACTACTGGAGGTTTCATTTTCTTCTTCATCATACATGCTGTTATTTTCACACTAGAGGCAATATTATTCAAAGAAATAAGTCTCCCAGGGATGTTTACTACAACTTTACACAAATACCACCCTGTCAGATGGAAAAAGAGAAGCAAGCATCTACTAACTTTGCTACTGTTCATGCCCAGTTTTCACATTCAAGGGTAAAGCTGTGCTCTTTCCACTGCAGCTCATGTCACTGGGTCCAGTCACTCAGAACAAACCAGAGAGTTTGAGCCTGTAACCCAAAGGGAGTTGATCAAATACCAGTTTTAAAGAAGTTTTTACAATATCCAACACCAGCCCAGACATTCTGCAGTAACAGAAGTCATTGAAACAAAGCCTATTTGTAAACCAAACATCTGTGAGAGACGTCTGGTGGGCAGGCAGAACGCCCCACAGCCCTGCCCATGGGGTGCTTGGGCAATGCCTCGTTCTAACGGAGGGAGTGCTCTGCTAGTCACGTTTCTTCACGGCATTTTTAAAGAAAGCCCTGGGTAACAGGAATAAAAAGACTCTGATATCCTAAGTATGAACCTAATATTTAAGCATACAAGGTTAAAGATACAAAGCAAAGCCGTGCAGGGAGGACATCCAGGACTAAAGACAGCTCTACCGGTGCAAGCGGGACCGGGCCCGGCGCACCTCAGCCCTACCTCAGGGGTTCCCGCCTCACACTGGGGCTGCCACCTGAGGGCACAGTACCGCCCGTCCCGCCCCGCCCCACAGCCCGCGGTTACGGGCGCCCCCTGCGGGCCAGGCGCCCCGGGGAAGGCGGCTCCAGCGGGGAGCCTCGACCCACCCCGCCACCGCCCCGGCTCTCCGGCAGCCACCGCCCCACAGCCCCGCCGGCTCCTAACGCCCGGAAACGGCAGCACCGCGGCTTCCCCCGCGCAGACATGAGCGGGCTGGGGGCCGCTGCGGAGCCGCCGAGCTGGCGGCGGGGCAGCAGCGGTAAGGGCGTGGGGCGGCAGATAACGAGCGCCGGGGGGAGGAAGCACCCACCGGCGGGAGCCCGCCGCAGGTGGCGGGGGCAGGGAGGGGCTGGGAGCGGCGCTGCCCTCGCCTCACCTCGCCTCCCTCAGCGCGGTGGGGGTCTGGGGGCGGCCGGGCCGGGGCTGCGGGCTGGGTGCCATGTTGTGGCTTCCTCCCTCTCGCAGAGGTCTTTCCTCCTGAGGAGCCGGGAGCCGCCGCACCTGTGGGGTTTCTGCAGCAGCTGCCCAGCTACCAGTCGGCGCGGAGGCGGCGGAACGCGCCCGGCGCCGGCACCCAGGGGCGGCGGGCGGCCCAGCAGGGCTCTTGGGGGCGCCGCGGGGGTGAGGCCCGGGGGCCGGAGCAGGAGGGAGGCGAGCGGGAGGCTCGTCCTGCGAGGGAGTACCCCCTGAGTATCGCGGAGAAGCGGAGGCTGAGGTAAAGCTTTACACGTTTTTTCTGTTCTGTTTCTTAATAACAATTTCCTGAACGCAGCACAGGTGGGATGGTAGGCTGAAGCAGCACTGGGCTCGTCTGTGTCTCTTTCACACTGTGGCATGTGTTTTTGACCAGAAATTGCCCGGGTGCTCATGCAACATGTGGCAAGCTCCCTGTGGCACCTCCGGTTGCAGGAGCATGGCTAGGTGCTCTTGGCTGGCAGGAGGGACTCGCTGACTTGGGGGAGGAATAGGTTGAATTGGGGAAAATGAGTCAAAAACAGGAA